TGAAGGAGATGAGCATCTGGGGAGGTGAGCACCTGGGGGAGGTGAGCCCCTGGGGAGGTGAGCACCTGGGGATATGAGTACCTGGGGAGGTGAGCATGGAGATGAGCACCTAGGGAGGTGAGCACCTGGGGGAGGTGAGCACTTGGGGAGGTGAGCATTTGAGGAGATGAGTACCTGGGGAGGTGAGCACCTGGGGATATGAGCACCTGGGGAGGTAAGCAGCTGAGAGGTGAGCTGAGAGATGCCTTTGTCGGCCCACTGCCTCCCCAGGGTTCCCTGTGGGATGAGGTCCACACTGCAGGACTGGAAGGTGCCATGGGTGGGGCCCGAGCAGTCCCCTGTGCGCGCTGAGAAGGCAGCCGGGAACCACCATCACACCTGGCACGTCTGACCTGAAGGCCCCTGGCCAGCCACACTTTACCCACGTCCTCGCCTGGTCTGGCAACATTCTCAGGTGGGATGCGTTGAAACCTGGCCCCATCTACAAGGAAGCCGCCAGGGCCCAGAGCTTCCGTGGCTGGCCAGTGGGAAGGTCTTGCCCCTGAGGGTGAGGGACTTGCCTTTTCAGGCCCACATGAGGGAGGGTCTGAGGGGCGGGGATCTAGGAGAGGCAGAGGTGGGCAGGGGCTCTGTTTGCAGGCCCTCCTTGTGGTTGTGAAGCCTGTGGGTGGGTGGGGTGGGCTGGCTGCAGGGAGGGGGCCAAGGGTCTCTGGGTCCCTCTGGGCCGCCTGATGGGGCAGGCTCAGGCCTCCCTGGGCTTAGCCCAAATCCCTGGTCAGCAGAGGGGAGTCTAGGAGGTCAGAGCCAAGAGCTGGGCCCAGGGGAGCTTCAGGCCCCACCAGTGGGCAGCCCAGGGGAGGCTGGTCCTTGCCAACACCATGCCCACAGGCCGGTCTCCGCCCTCAGCGTCTGCGGCACAGGCAGAGCCGGCCCGGGCTCTGGGCCCAGTGTGCCGCCCACACGCACCTGAGATGGCCTGGACGGCCACGCGGAGGAAGCCCTTCACCTCGCCCTTCTCGCTCACGATGGCCACGCGGTGCACCAGAGGCACSGGGTACAGCAGGTTGCTCAGGTAGACGAAGGCCCTGGGGAGCAGAGGCCGCAATCAGGGGCCACCCCCCATGCTCTGAGTGGCAGCAGTGACAGCACGGCCGAGGACAACATGACAAGAAGCTGCAAAGCAGAGCCAAGCCGCGGGGCAGCCAGGGTGTGGGAGCGAGGCGCTGGGCAGGGGTCGTGGGGTCTGCAGTGCTGATGAGACAGGAGAGGCACGAGGGGGCCAGGGAGTGGACCTCGGTGAGCAGAGGGCACAGCCCAGCAGAGCCCAGGTGTGGCCGTCCGAGAAGACAACAGGTGAGGGGGGGTTTCAGCCTGCTTCAAGGACTGGAGGACCTGGTGGGCCAGGCTGCGCTGCACCCGACCYGCAGCTGCTATGATGTCCCTTCCCTGGCCAGCCCTGCTGCTCACGGGCCCAGCCTGAGCCCCTCCCATCAATGCAGCCTGTGGTGGGTGAGAGCTACTCAGAGTCAGCCAGTGCCCAGGGTGGCTGGCCAGTGCCCTGAGGACACCCCCAGACCCACGGCACAACCCCACCTGACCCGTTAGTGACCCAGAGCTCCAAGAGCCTCTGTTCCCAGCCAGCAGTTAGCTGCCCCAGCTGGTGCCAGGACTGACCTGGGCAGAGGACATGGTCACTGGGGTGGCTTCTGCATGCCCTGAACTGGCCAACATGCAGGGTCACAAGGGCAGCCAGGATAGAGAAGACCTGGAGGACCCTGTGCCACCCAGCCAGGTGGGCAGGCTGCTATGGAGAACGCCCCCACTGTTCAGGGGCCCCTCCTGGATGGAGCACCCTTCTAGGAATGGGGTCATCCTCCTGGGAACAGGAGCACCTCCTGGGTGGAGCACCCTCCCAGGGAGCACCTCCTGGGTGGAGCACCATCCTAGGAAGAGGAGCACCTCCTGGGTGGGACACCCTCCTAGGAACAGGAGCACCTCCTGGGTGGAGCACCCTCCTAGGAACAGGAGCATCTCCTGGGTGGGACACCCTCCCAGGAACCGGAGCACCTCCTGGGTGGAGCACCCTCCTAGCAACAGGAGCATCTCCTGGGTGGAGCACCCTCCTAGGAACAGGAGCACCTCCTGGGTGGGACACCCTCCTAGGAACAGGAGCACCTCCTGGGTGGAGCACCCTCCTAGCAACAGGAGCATCTCCTGGGTGGAGCACCCTCCTAGCAACAGGAGGGGCATCCTCCTAGGAATGGGAGCACCTCCTGGGGGCACTCCAGGGAGTCACCTTGATGAGGAAGGGCCACCTGGTGAGTCACACTGGGGTGAGAACAATCAGCTCAGCTCTGCTTTTAGCCCAGAACCTACCCACTCAGCCGCCTGCCCTCCTTTCCAGGTAGAGCCGACTGGGCATCCAGAAGAGGAGTGGGGAGGTCCTGGTGGCACCGGCTCAGGATTTGGACATTGGGGGGGCTCACAGGAACCTGCCTGAAAACCACTGCAGCCTCCTGGGCTGGCGGGGGGGAGGGGGTCTGCTGCGTGTCAACCTGTTGGCTCAGGTTCCCAGAAGTCACATGGGGGYCCTTTAAGTCCCCTGGGCATAAATCAAAGACCCAAGGAATAACGGCCCCAGMAGGTCTCTGAAGCACAGGGCAAACACCCTAAGAGCAGGTAGGAYGCTGGAGAGCTGGCTCCCACACAGCAGCGCGTCCCCCTGGCTGGCTGCGCCTCCCTCTAGGGGCACCAAAGTAGAGCTGGCAGGCCTGACTGTGGATGTGGCGCCAGGGCTGTGACTGCAGGTCCCCGACTCCAGGTCCCCCAGCTCCCTACTCGGTCAGCACAGCCAGATCCTTGGCCTTTCAGAACCCGCTCCGTCTCTGGAGAGGGCCCAACATGGCAGCACCCACCACCGTCCTCATGCGAGATGCAGCCACACCATGCCCCCGAGGGAGGGGCTGTGGGGTAGAGCCTGTAGGGACCTCTTGGCTGGAGGCCCAGAGGTTACTCATCAAAGGGCCACTGGGATCTGTGGCCAAAGCCTCCCTCTTCTCTAGCCCTTGACCCGTTCTGGACATTCTGAGGGGTACCCTGGCAGAAGTCTGAGGACCCAGTGACAGCTCCGGTGTCAGTGTTGGAGAAGGCAAAGGGGCATCTGTGGCTCTTCCCTCCAACCCACAGACCCCTGCCAGTCCACCTGGAGATGGTGATAGACCCACTCAGACCCCTAGTGGCATTAACCACCCCCAGTGGCAGCACCAGCCTTGAGGGGCCACAAATTGAGTCTTGAAGACCCCTGTCCCTGCTCCCATGGGGACCCCATCCAGGCCATGCACCCAGAGTTTGAGCAATGGGACCAGGTGGTGCCGGACTCCAGGGACCCACGTCTGGGGCCTTGGGCTTCTGTCCAGCAGGGACTGTTCTCCAGGCCTGGTCTCATCAGCCCTCCTGGTGCCAGGCAACCCAACAGTAGTGCCAGGTACTCTGGGGACCAGACAACTGCCCCAGTCCTGACCCTGACAGCACGGCTCTGCTACACCCCCCTGCACAGCCGGCTGCCCTCAGGGCCTGGAGACACCATCCACAGGTATACTGGTCCGGTGGGCTGAGGGGTCTGGCACAGAGCCCTTGGAGTGGGTGCTGAGGGGGCCCGGGGTGCACAGAGCTGACACTGCCTCTCGCTGGCTCAGCATTATCACCTAGTGCTGGATACTGCCCTGGAGCCTGGGCTCGTCCCCCTCCCCCAGCACTGCCCAGGAACTAGGCTGCAGTGCCCTAGTTCCCCTGTCTGCAGTGCCATCTTACCCACTGTCTGTGTCCCCCTCTCCTGGAGGCACCTAGTCCTCCGGGGGAAGCAGAGGCCTCAGGCCCACTTCCTCAGCCTGGACTGTGGACAACAACACAATGGCTTCCCCAGGTCACTGGGCAGTACAACCTCCACAGGCAGAGCCCCCAGGGACCTGACCCTGGACATGGGGAGAGGCCCCTGGCTCTGTCAAGAGCACCTTGAAGCAGACTGAAACGGAGAGGAGAGGCGGGGAGGGAGGAGGGAGCCGAGTGGCGAGCGGAGGGAGGAGGCAGCGCTAACCACAGATTGGTGAGGTGCAAGACGCATGCTGGGACCCAGGGACGCCTTTCCATAGGGGACCAGAGTGGGCCACCCAATTTTGCTTAAGCTTTGGAGAGAGAGCCAGCAGCTACCAGAAGGATAAAAGGAAAATCAACGGTGGGGTCCTTCCCAGGGCTGGGCCTGCTTAGCTGCTGAGCGGGAGAAGCCAATTCTTGCCAAACCAAAAGATCAGGATGATTCCAAATGAAGCCTGTGGCGACCTCCCGTGACACCGGGGGCCAGGCCTCTCAAGGACAACTTTTGTTCCGTTTGGCAGTTTTGTCAAATCTCAAATCCACAAGAGGGGAAAAACGTTGGAAGGACCCAGCTCTTTTCTGCTGAGACTGCAGGGCCCACACCCCATTTCTCCCCTATTCTTGTCCCTGCACGCCCTGACCCCTGGCTACCTGACACCCGGAGCCACTCCCCAACCCCAGCAGGAGCTGAGGTCTGGCCCTAGAGCCTGGGGCTTGGCGAGGGGAACCTGCCTGGAGTCRGCCGGGCCCAGCAGAGTGAGGTCCAGGCTCGGACATCTGGGGGACATCACCTACTTGTGTCTGGCTCATCTCCTGATGCCAGCCTGGTGACAGCCAGGGAAAACCCATCAGAGCAAGTCCATGGCATGCGCCATGGGGACCGGCTGCCTTCACAGGGGAGGGGGCTTTCCTGCCATCTCCTCCACCTGGGAGCCCAGCCAATCTCCTGATCTGCAGGGGCTGCCCCCAGCCTGCGGGTCAAGTTTTCTTCTGGAAATGCCTGGCCCCAGGAAACCATCTAACTTCAAGAAAAGYTGCTGAAGCTGACGGACACCTTTTCGTGTGGGAGCACTTTGTTCCCATCAGGAGCCGAGCGTCTGACAGCGGCACTAGGCTGCTGGACCTGCCTTCTCCTGTCTCCATCCCTCCATGAGAACAGAAGGAACAGTGGGTGCCAGGTCCACCTGCAGGCGGGTCGTCTGCCCCAGGTCTTGGCTTCCCCACAGCCTCTGTTCCACCTCCTGACCTTGGCCACTCCTACACCTGGGGGCCGTTAACGACCAGCTCCTGCTGCAAAGGGCAGGTGCCCAGAGGGCCCTGGGCCACGGGTCCATCTCTCCCCGTGACCTCCTGGGAGAACACCCTCACCTCTGCCAGGCCCCTCATGGGGGGCAGTAGAGGGGCTCTTGCCTGCCCTAGGCTGGCCCCCAAGTCCTGCTCCTTTCCCCAGAACAAAGTGGCGCTGGATGCACACAGGGAACTGCCTTCTCTTTGGAGGGACTGAAGCCGCCGCGGTGGGATGAGCTGGCTCCACTGGGGGTGCCCCTTCCTCACCTCTCACCCCTCCACTGGGGGTGCTCCTTCCTCACCTCTCACCCCTCCACTGGGGGTGCTCCTTCCTCACCTCTCACCCCAGTCCTTGCACAGAGATAGGGTAGAACCTGGGCACCAGGGCCAGAGCCACGGTCAGGTCCCAGGTTTCCTGCAGCCTCCGTAGAAGCAGTTCCACCTACAGGATCCAGTGCCATGGGCCGGTGGCCACGCTGCGCTCCAGGGCTGCTTCTTCCCTAGCTGGACCCYGACCCTATACCACTAGGCCAGAGCATTCATCTCCAGGAGGGGAGTGCCCACGGGGCCGCCACGGGAGCCCCAGCTCCCTCAGGCCCTGCCTCGGAAGGCCAGCCCCTCAGCCTGCCTTGGCTGGGGGGGTCCGGGGTCACACCCTGACGCCTGATCGTGCCCACAGCAGTGCTCCTGTGCAAAAGAGCTGGTTCCTCCCCAGCATGCTCTGCTCGGCCTCACCAACCTTCCTACTAAACTGAACAGGGGGGGCCGGTCGTAAAACGGGTCCCGGCCGTCGCACAGCGAGTGCTCCGGAAAGACGTCGTCCTCCAGGTCCTCCTCCTCCTCCTCCTCCTCCTCCTCCTCCTCCTCCTCCTCCTCCCCCACGCTCTGCTCCTCGGCAGGCTCGGTGGCGTCGGAGTCGGGGCTCGAGAAGGTGGGGGAGGGGGTGAGACCAGCCATGCGCTCGCTCATGCATGTGTTGAGAAGAGGGTAGCTGTTGCAGCCAGAGATGACTGGACTGAGGTTAGTACGACAAGACAGAGAGAGGTTAAGACCAGCTACCCGCGGGAGGCGGCGGCCGGGGCACGCTTCTGTGTGAACCCCACCCAGCACACACACCACCGAGAATGCGCTTTAAAGACAGGAGGACCAGAATCCCACCCCAGCCCAGGCTTGGAGCCAACCACGCGTGTGGTCAGCTGGAAGGCTCCAGAAGGTTCTGGAAGGCACCAACGGTGTGATGGAGAACAGGGGTCCTAGCCAGGCATCCCCAAGGCCATCGAGAAGACCTCAGAATGCCACTGTTGTGTGGGGTCAGAGGCTGGGCACAGACCCCAGACCAGAGACCAGGAAGGAGGTGGTGGCCTCTACGGCTTCTAGGGCTTGGGGCACAGCCCTGCCTCTGTGTTCCCACCCCAAAGGACACCTGCCCAAGGCCCCAGCTGCTGGGGAGTCACACAGAGTGGGCAGGGTGGCAATGGTGAGACCCATCTCATGCCCTGAGGTTGCGGCCCACAGGTGTGTGGTGAGGAGTGGCGGGCGGGGGACAGGGGCCTGGGTGGGGCAGGACAAGGCGGAGCAGAGCTCCTTCCTTGTGTCAGGGCCAGGACCAGCGGGGTCCAGGCCTGGGGGCAGGCCGCTCTTCCCACTGCCCTCTCGCTATCACATGCTGTGCCAGGGCAAGGAGGAGGCGCCCACCTGCCCACCAGCCGGAACCAGGGGAAGCGGTCATAGAAGGGGTCTCCACCGGTCACCACGTTGTCGCAGTCCTCCACCACGCTGGAGGGCACCTCCGCGGCCCTGTCGTACATCTCGCGCATCAGGTCCAGGCGCTGCCTGTGGGGCACAGCACACTGTGTGGGCCCGGGCCAGCCACCGTGGGCCTGGCACAGAAACCCCCCCAGACCCTCRGAACTGGCCAGTCGGGAGACGCACTTGCAGTTAGACAGGCAGACTCACCTCCTGAGCCCACAAGCCTGCAGCTGGCCTGAGGGGTGCAGGGACCCCCATAGGCAGCGGCTGGAGGAGAGGCGCCAGCAAAGCTCAGAAACAGAGCCCAAAGGTCCAGAAGGCGGGAGGGGAGGCAGGGACGGGGCAGGGAAGACTAAGAAAATGTCTTGGAAATCGTGCTCAGGTGAGCTCAGTGTTGGGCAGAGCCCAGGGCTCAGTGCTCAGGACCCACCCACTCCCAGGGGACACCCCTGCCTGGGGCAGGCACCCTGAGCATGGAGCCCAGAGGTCTGCAGGGTGCTCATGTGTGGACCCCTGTGTGTGTGTGTGTGGTGTGTGTGTCTGCCAGGGTGCATGGGAGTGTGCCAGATTGTGTATCTACCATTGTGTGTGTGCAGTGTGTACCAGTGCATGTGCTGATGTGTGTACGTGTGTCTACCAGTGTATCAGAGTATGAGTACTGGTGCATCTACCCGTGTGTGTGTCTACCAGAGTCTACCACTGTCTGTACGTGTCTTGTGTGTGTGGACCAGTGTGCGTATCAGTGTGTGTGCCTGTGTCCACTGTTGAATGTGTGTACACGTGTGTGTGAGCTACACAGAGAGGAGAGTGTGGATCCCATGATTGGTCTTCCATGTTCTGATGTTGGGACACTTTGGGGACTTTCTGGTGGGGACAGCCCTCTGCCACCTCCCACCCTGAGCCTAGCGGTTCCTGGAGCCCACCTGTCATACACCAATGAATGACTCGGAGTGCCCCTGACCTCCTCCCTCCCTGGTTTCCCACATGCAAGCCAACATTCCCTTTGTCCCACGTCACCAGGCCAGGAGGCGGTCAGAAGCTCTGGCCTTCCTGCTTTGGCCAGCCCTGGTGCCTCCCCCCTTGCCCTGGGTCCCCTCCTAGCAGCTGCAGGGACATTCTGCTCTGCCTTCAATGGCATCTGCCCCCACGCGGTCACCTTTCATAGACTAAGAACAAGCACAAAGCACAGTGGGTCCGCAGGCCAGGGAAGCCGAGCCACAGGGCCAGCGGCTCCTCAGTGGTGCAGCTGCTGTGGGAGGGTGCAAGGGAGGAGCCAGGAGCCCAGTCCCCTCCTGCTGCCCCCGAGCTCCTGGCTCTGGGGACGCTGATTCCACCCTCCAGGCCTGGCTGTGCCCATCCAGTGCCCTGCTGCCCACAGGACCTCCAGGGGCATGACCCTTCCCTCCCTTCCAGAAGGACCATCTTGGCGTCTGTGGGCCTCAGTCTCCCTCCTCTTACTTCTGAGGTCTGACCACAGCCCTGGATTACAGGAGACCCCCTGTGTGCCCTGTGCGAAGGTCGAGCCTGGCCCTGGTTCTGTCCTGGGGGAGGGCCCGCCCCACTGTCCACTCCACTGCCCACCAGCCACACCTGAGCTTCTCCAGCGTCCAGTAGTGGGTGGCCCCATTCTTCTGGTCCTGCACTTCCACGGCCACTATCGTGCGGGGGAAGGGCCGAGTCTCCCGGTCTCTGGCAGCCTCTGGGGGCAGCAGGTCTGGYGGCAGTGGGGAGTAGAGGGTATCCGTGAGGAGGACAAACTGGAACTGGACCTGTGGAAGATGGCCTATCGTCAGTCCCTGGTGAGTGGAACCAGGTCCCCAGTGGGGCTTCCTGCCGACCTCAGAGCCTTTGACTGGTGCCCATGGGCACTGAGCCTTCCAGCCACACTGCAGAGGTCCTGCTCCCCGAGTCCCCTCCTGGCCAACACCTTCCCTGAGCAGAAAGGGCAAGCTGTCCATCTCAGCCAGTCCCAGAACCTCCTTCTGCTGCCCACTCTGGGGCCAAGGTCAGGCAGGGCCCTGCTGTCCACCTTGGGCTGAGAGGGACAGGACGGGCATGGCCAGCAGAGTGAGCACCCACCTTTTTCTTGAGCTCGACGCTGATGGCATTGGCCTCCTTGAGGAAGATGGCATTGCCCCACAGCAGGTCCCGCAGGGACGTGAACTGGTACCACTTCCACTTCCGGAAGGCCCACAGGGCCAGCTCACACTCGCGCTCTGTCCACTGCACTGTGGAGGAGGCCACAAGGTTGTCAGAGACGGGCAGCTATGTTGTCCACTATGCTCAACYTTTAGGAGGTCCAGGCAGCAGGGTCATGCTGTGGGAGCACAGGCTGGCTCTGGGCCCAGCGTGCACAGAAAGGTTACCCCCTCCAGAGGTGCAAGGGCAGGCTGGCCTGGTGGGGGACTGGGAGGCCCCAGGTTTTGCAGCTCTGGTCAGCCCCTCCCACTCAGGGCCTGGGCCTGGGGCTCCATGCTCGGGACCCTATTTTAAAGAGAATGAAGAAGCTGGTGGAAAGCTCTGCAAGTGAGCCATGTAGAGGGCCCAGGTGTCCAAGATAAAGGGCAGTGGTCCCGAGCACCAGGCTGAGGTGGGGCTGGGGGAGTCTGCCAGTGGTAGCCAACAGGCCACGCAGGCCAGCAGTGGGGGACGGGGCCCCAGGAGAGGAGGCAGGAGAGCAGGCCAGATGCACCCAGAGCAGGGCTCCAGGCCCCCCAGGGAAAGGGCGTCCTTGGGAGAGGGACACAGTGGCCCTTGATCTCCACAGGTCACATGGTGAGGCACATGCCAAGCACTTGCCACCTCAGCCCTGGCCACCCGTCCACACCCTCATGTGTGTGCACGGCCGTGCTGGCCTGCTGCTGCTCGGCCTCCAGAGCCCCATCTCCACCTGCTCCCTGGCCCAGGAGGCCTCCCCCTGGGGCAACAGGCCGCCTCCCCACTCAGGCCCTCACCTTCGTCCTCCGGCTCCTCCTCCTCCTCGTTCACCTCTGGGTAGTACCTGGAGTCCATCTGCTTCTGCAGGGCCTCCAGCTTGCTCTCGTAGTCCTGCAGAGAGAGGCCAAGGCTTGGGCTCACAGGGAGACAGGTGGCCCTGGCACAGAGGAGGCGGGGCAGACAGAGAGGGCAGGGAGAGAGGGCCCCGGGTCCTTACCAGCCTCTGCTGCTCCAGCAGGTAGGTGGCCTCCTCCCGCTCCCGGCGGTACTGGTCTTCCAGCTCCTGGAGCCTGCAAGGGGGCAGCAGGTAAGCGCAGGAGGCCCACAGGCGCGGCGGGCAGCGGCCTGCCCCAGGCTCACCTCTGCTCCATCTCCTGCTTCATGTCAATGCCCTGCTTCTCCAGCAGCTCACGCTGGGCAAAGGCCCAGTCCACAGGCTCCGCCGGCGTCTCCGCACAGGGCGTGCGCTCCCGCTCCTGGCGGGCCTGCTCCGGGTGGTTGAACCGGAACACGTGGCTCTTACCCATGATGATGCGGTTTCCTGGGGGACAGAGGCAAGGCTGGCCTCAGTGGCCATGAGAGAGAGGGAGACGAAGGAAGGGGGTGCAGGTACTTCCTCTGTCCGGCCCTCCCAGCTCTCCAGGGAGGCCCCTCTCCTCCTCAGCCTCTTCCTTCTCTCCCAGATCCAACCCCTGAGTCGCTCCCTGCTCAGCAGCTGTGGTCTGCTGCGACCTCCAGTGTCCCTGTAGAGTGTGGCAGTCACCACTCTGGTCCCCCTCCCCCGAGCGCTCGGCCAGGGCGTTCCCTGATGTGCAGGGGCYGTGGGTCCACAGGGCCTTCTCCCCTTCACTCCCTCTGGACAGGAAGGGCTAGGGCAGGGCTGCCAGGCCCAGGGTGGGAAGGCCACAGATGCTGGTCCTTGGGGCAGCCAGAGYGTCAGGAGGGAGCGCCGGAGGCTGACCTTGGTCCAGGCCTGCCACCCAACCCCAGTGCTGGACCCCTCTCAGGACCCACGCATCTAYAGGGCCCCTGGGGCAGTGCCTGCTGATTTTGGACAGTCCTGCCTGTGTGGCCCCTTTGAAGCCCTCACTTCCCCTGCTCTGCCCTCACCTGAGCCCCAGTGTTTGCAGGAAGTCCCCTCAGTCCTGCTCAGCCCCTAGCCCGGCCACCCTCACCCAGTCACTGCCCCGGCCTCCCTGTGCTCAGCTCACACACTGGGTGGGCACCCAGGTCTCCCCTGGGCGGGCCCAGAACCTGCCCCAGGCTCCTGGGCAACAGAACACACCCTGAAATGACCGAGAACAGTAGCAGCCGTCTGTCTAGACTGCCCACCCCAGGTGATGAGCCTCCATGGCCTCAGGGTATTCTGGTGTCCCTCCAAAGTGCCCTCAGGGTCCCAAAGGCAGGATTTTGGAGTTCTGAAGACTCCTAGACAAGGAGGCCCTCAGGGTGAAGGCAGGCTGGGTCACCTCCCACCTCCCTACCCCTGGGGTGGACAGAGGGACCTCCTCATTCCCAGCCAGAGCTCATTCCTGGCCAAGGTTGATGGATGGTCAGTTTAACATGTCAGCTTGGCCAGGTTACAGCATCCAGTGATCCCACCAAGCACTGTCTAGGTGTGGCTGTGGAGGTGGTCCCGGACATGTGGTCAACATCAGCAACCAGCTGACCATATGTGAAAAGAGAGTTCCTCTACGGTGCGGGGGCCTCCATCAATCAGTGGAAGGCCCTAGGAGTGAACAGAGGAAGGAAGTTCTACCTGCGGATGGTGAGTCTTCTCCCGCCCAGGAGCTTCGGGCCTGCTGCCTGCCTGGGGCTTGGACCCTCCCTGGCCTATAGTCTGCCACTCACCTAGGCCATGTATCCCTCAGCCAAGCTCTGGCCCTGGCTGCCTCTGCACCCTGCTCTGCTTTCTCCAGACTGACCCCAGGCAAAAGCCAGATGGCACTTCCTGTCCAACTCCCCTAAAGAAGGGAATTTCTGCCACGTGCACCTGGGTTTACACCAGGGGCACCAGGATGCTCACATCTGGACAACAGGCCAACCCCACACCAACTGACCACGCTGCCCTCCAGCCCTCTCTCCCAGCCCAGCCCACCAAGTGTCCATCCTGAGCCCGGGGAGGAGCCTCTTCTGGAACGGGTCCCACCTTGGCTTCCCAAGCAGCCCCAGCCCACTGTGGGGTCCCCGTGTGCAGCCCGGGCTCTCTGCTCAGGCCTGGGGTCCTGGTGCTCAGGCCCAGTGCCTGGTGGGGCGTGGGGAGGCTCACAAGCTMGTCAGGAGCCCACAGCCTGCAGAGCTGCCACCCACGGGGCATGGGCTATGCCCACAGGGGGCTTCACACGGAGAAGGGGTGACTTGGGCATGGGGATCGGGGCTTCCCCTGATGCCCTGTCCACTCCGTGGTCCCTCTTGCCCTTGGCCATACCTGACCGCAGGATGCTGGGCTCAGTGACTTTCTTGCCATTGACGTATGTGTCTGCCCCCTCACAGGGCTCCAGGGTCACCACGGCTACAAGACAGAGGCAAAGTCAGCTTAGAGGGACGGTCACTTCAGCAGCTCAGCCTGCCTGACCCTGCGCAGGAGGTGGGTTCTCTGCTCATTCAGTAGAGGAGGAAAGTGACCTCTAAGAGGGGGCTGTGGGTGTTCAAGACGGGGCTGGCGAGGCCATGCAGGGCTCCAAGCCAGGGCCCTGCCCAGGTCTCCAGGTGGGTAATGGGTAACTGGCTGACTCTCCCCAGGGCACCCCAGAGTCCTCTGCCTTCACCCCACCCGAACTGGAGAGGACAGACGCTTTGGGGACAGTCAGGGAGAGCTGACTGTCATCAACATTGCTCGAGGACACGAAGCACCATCCTCCTGAGCTGGCCAAGGGGACAGTGAGCTCCACTCGCAGATCTGCAGGCCAGAGGCTGGTCAGACTCCCATTGGGAGCTGCCCTGACGGCCACAATGCAGCAGGCCCCCAGAGATGGGCAACGCCACCTTCTGGAAGGCGGCCGCTAGACAGGCAATAGGCAGATGGCCGCTCCACAGCCAGCAGGAAGCAGGTCCCCAGACAGCCCTCCAGCCTGGACTGGGCTCTCCTCCTGGCTCRCTGTCCTGCCGCCAGAACACCCCCACGCTCCCAGACACATTGCCAACCTCCCACGTCCCACYCCTCGTCTTCCAAGACACTGGGCTCCCTGGAGCACCCCTGGCCATGGGAGGCACCAGGCCCTCCCTCAGGACCCAAGGGAGTTGTCCCCAAGCTGTCCTCTGCCCTAATGCATGGCTTCGGCTCCTCTAAGAGACCCCTCCGGGGCCTGGTCAGCAGCACGGGGCCAGAGGGGTGGGGAGCACACACCTTCACTGCCTCCCCTGGAGTCGCTCCGGAAGACACAGTGCTCCTCCTTGATGAAGTGCCCGCTCAGGACAATGTCCTGCCTCCTCTCGGCATCCTCCCTGCCCACTCTGGGGGGGGCAAGAGGACCATTGGCAGCATAGACAGGTCCAGCACACCCATGAGGGCACCCACTGGCCCACCTGTGCCCACAGGCAGCCTTGGGGAGGCCCAGCTGGGATCTTTAGGGAAATGCCCCAGAAGGGCATTGTGAGGGTGCTGGGCAGTGAGGGGAGAGAGGACCCCAGTGCAGCCCAGCCCTGGGATCCACAGCCCAGAGCAGACACAGGGTCACTTCAGAAGCAAGCATGGGCAGCAGTATTGCTAGAGCAGGTGACCAACTGGATGGCCCTGTGTGGGGTAGCACAGGCTTGTAGGAACAGGGAGTCCCCCACGCCCAGCCCACCCTGCCAGTGCCCACCTGGTGATGCCGTCCTTGATGTAGTACAGGAGGCACTCGGACATCAGCGGGTCCTCGTTCAGGTTCACAAGGTGAGGAGTCTGGGGGCAGGAGATGGGATGGCCACCTCTCCCAGGGCCACTGGCCACCCCACCCAAGCCTCCCCAGGCCCAGACCCCGGCAGCCCCAGCCTGGCAGACRAGACAGGAGAGCAGGAGAGGCAGGAAGGTCTCAACGGCAGAGCTCCTGCAGGACGCCGGGACCCTTCCCCATCTGCCACTCAGCGGGTCAGAAAGCCAGGACTGGCCCTCGGGACCAGGAAGCACAGAGGTTGTGAAGGACGTCCCCCGGAGCCACGGGGGTGTGGAGGCCAGCTCCCCTACCCCAGGCCCACCAAATCCAGCCCAGGCCCAAGGTGACGCACCCCCCTACCAGGCCTGTCCCCACGGCCTTCTGCCCCAGGCCCACCCCATCAGCCCCTGCAGGCCTCACCCACTGTGGCCCTGGACTGGCCTCACTGCCTCCCCACTCACCCAGGGTCTCCCTGGGCCCCCGCCCTCCCTGAGCTCAGGAAGGGCATCACCCAGCTGTGTCCTAGGGGAAGTCCAGCAACAGGGCAGAGGCCCAGGCTGGCCCTGCTCCCTGTGTCCCACAGGGACCCCAAGCTGTCAATCCCAGGGCAGGCAGGAGAGACCTGGCCACCAGTCATGGGACCAACATCAGGCTGTCCCCTTCCCTGAGTGGATGCGGGTCCTAGGGAGGGCCAAGGGACACCAGATTCCCAGGGACGCCTAGCTTCTCGTGTGGGGTCCCTGGCGGTCCCACTCCTGAGCAGTGCACACACCCAGGGACATCAACAAAGCCGAGGACTCCAGGTGCCTAGTCTCCCAAGGGAGTGCCCAACCTCCGGGCTCCCAACAGCCTCAGGACAATTTGCTCCAGACAAGAGCAGAGCCTGCTCAGGAGGTGTGTGGAGTCCAGCCCCATCGGGGCACCGCTGGGCCCTGTCTGCAGTTCCTCCCAGGCACTCCTGCCCCTGGACCTTAGTACATGCTGCTGCCCTGGCCAGGTCTCGACCCTGCCCAGCCCCCTGGCTGGTGCCTCCACCAGGCACCTGGCACATGCGGGCAGCGTCAAGCCTGGCTAGGCCTGGCAGAGACACAGGTGCAGCACAGCTGGGTCCCGCCTGCTGCCTAGGGGCAGACCAGACTCTGGCTGGGGGTGTGTGAGATGCACAGGCTCAACACCATCTGGGAAATGCGCCCGCACGTTGGCCATAGAGCCTGAGGTAGGTGGCCTGGTGGCCTGGCCAGGGCCCGCAGGATGCCCTGCACTGGCCTCTTCCCAAGGCCTGCTCACACTCCATGAGCTCACAGTGCAGGATCATCCCCAAAGGGTCCAGTCCAAGAAGGCCAGTGCCCAGGGAGGCCACCCTGAAAGTGCCCAGTACCTTGTTGCTCAGATGGGCAGGCTGCAAGTCCCACCTCCCCCAGGGCAGCCCTTCCTCAGCCTGGAGGTGGACTGTCCTCCTGGACCCCTGACCACCCTGCTGCCCACAGGCTGCCTTTCCAGTCTGGGGCCCAGGGGGACAAGGGCTAGGGGCTCCTGGGAGAGGCCCGGGCTCCAGGCTAGGGCTGGGCCCACGTGTCTCAGGTGGCAGCCCGGGCCTGGTTTCCCTTGCCTGTCCCCAGGGGACCTAGTCCATACCACAGGCAACTGGACACCTATCTCATGTCCCAAAGCCACGAGGACTCCCCACGGGAAGGGGAGTCTGGCTGTGATTCAACAGCCACCCTGATGCCTGGCCAGACCCCCGCCTGCTCCCCTCCTCCCAGGAGCCCCCCAGACCTGGGCCCAGCTCCTACCTTTTTGGGAGAGAACACACCCAAGGTGCCACCGTCCTCCCTCATGGCCACACCCATCTCAGCCAGCAGTGCTTCCCTGGGGGACAGAGCTGGGGTCAGCAGGAGCTGCAGGGGACTTCCAGGACTGGCCTCAGCCTGCCTGACCAACTGACCCAGAGCCACCCAGTTGCTCCCAGGCCTTATCCTGTCTGGTCAGTGAATTAGGCGTCCACTGGTGAGACCTTTTGTACCATGCTCCCTCAGGGGTCCTGTCTGCCAGGCCTCTATGGCCAGTGGCCAGCACCACCAGAGCTGGGGTCACTGGTCAAAGGTAGGTACCAGGTTTGTCTTGGGCTGGGGTGCGGCCACCCCCAGGCCCAGGCGCCCAGTGCTGGTGGCCGGGGCTTGTGTGTGTCCTGCCTGGGCCACAGACTCCCGGGCTGTGCCCTGGCCGCAGTGTCCCCATCTCTCACCTCTCCATCCGAATCGCCTCCGTCCGCCGCAGCTTCTCCTCCCAGGTCTCGTTGAGCTCCGCGATGATCTTCTCTGTCTCCTGCGGAGCAGAGGGAGCAGGGTGAGGTCCTGCAGGCAGCGGCCAAGAGGGCAGGGAGGGCCCAGGACCGGATCCAAAGGTCCAGGTGGGGACCCAGGGACACGAGGCTTTCCTCTGGGTACAGCCGGGAGAATGGGGAGGTGACGTGAAACAGGAGGAAGCCAGCCTGGTGTCCCAGAGGGCTCCGTGGCAGCTCTGAGCAGGGTCCTGTCCAGAACACAGAGCCCCACCGGCACCTGGGGTGTCCCTCCCACACACAGCTCAGGGCCCTCCAAGCCCCAAGAAGGCCAGGCACACCCCGGGGGCCCCACGCTCCTGGTACACACTCGGCCTCTCCCATCAGCCTCGCCTGGGCCACGTGCCTGGTCCCCTCAGCCCCGGTCTGGCCCACTCCCTGCACAGCTCGGCACCACAGGCCCGGTGACCGGTGACCAAGGAGCCCGGGCATGAAGTGCTGCAGGCACAGTGCCTGTGGCTGGGGTGCACGCGAGGCACCCGGAGGCACGGGGCAGCCCAGAAGGGGCTCAAAGCCTGCCCGCCACGCGGCCTTCCCTCCTGTGAGTGTGGCTCACGGGACGCAGGCGGGACTGCCACCACCTGCCGAGACCACCAGGRGCCGGCACTGCGCCACCCAGCTCCCCACCAGGCGCCGGCTCATGCCATCAGATGCAGCGAGTTCTGCCCAGTGCCCCACGCCCAGGGCTTCCCTCCCCGCTGGCAGCCAGGCCACAGGCCACCTGACATCACCCCTGGGTCCTTCACGGCACTTTCTGTCCAGAGCTCATCTGCACACTGGCCAAACCTTGTGCAGCCCAAGGATGCCCGGACACACCACCGGCGGGCAGGGAACAGGCCACAGTTGACCTAGGTGGGCGTCCGGAATCTGCTGCTGCAGAGCTTGCCTGTCAGGAGGCACTGTGCCGGGGGGTGGGGGGGGCAGGGCTGGGCCCACACCCAGGGTGCAGACCTGTCGCCTCTCCGCACTCACCTGGGCCCTGCAGCCTGTGTCCGCCGCCCGCCCCCTGGGGCCCTCATTCCAGCCTGTCCCTCACCTTCAGTCTTTCAATGGCCTCCTCGCTGCCCGGGGCAAACAAGATGCGCTCATGGAGGCTGGACACGGAGGCGGCACGGCTGGACAGAGCCGAGAGCGAGGATGAGGGGCTCATGCCCACCAGGGCGTTGGTCACTGTGGAGAGATTGTCAGGGGCCTGACTCAGCTCGGCCCTGCCACGGTTATTGTTCTCAAGGTCCGACACATCTAGGGCAGGAGGGGAAGGCGAGGGGACAGACAGAGGGGAGGGAGAGAAAAGAGAGACGCAGTTGGGACAGAGCCAGAGGACAGACACCACGGCACGGCCAGGCAGTCCCCCAGGACAAGCACACGCAGGCCTCCCGGAGCCCTCTCCTGCTCGGCTGCGGTGGCACAGGCAGGCCCCTGTGTGGCCACGGAGCTCTCCCGGGCAGCAGCGCCCACGCCCCTCTGTACTCGGCTGAGCTCCCCACCACCTCCCTGTTCCTGGGCCCTCTGTGCTCCACRCACCTGTATCCAGGGCCTGCGAGGGCACCTCGCAGCCTGTGCAGCCAGGGCCGGAGCTCCTGAGCCCACTGGGCCCGTCTGCCCTGCACCCAGGACCCTGAGCTCATCCTCACCCTCTGTAGGTGGGCCACCCACCCTCACCCCAACCCCTCCTGGGCCACCACACACCCCAGCTACAGGGCCAGGGGGCACCAACTGTCCAGTCCTGCTGAACACACCTGGAAGAGGGGGAGAGCAGGAAGCCCTCCTGGGGGAGCCCCCTGCTCCTCCACCACCCCAGGGCTCAACTGCCCCAAAGCCCAGGAGTTGGGCTGTGACACCCTAGAGGGGGATGCCCGGGCCCCCCAGCAGAAGCACACACAGCAGAGCAGCGGCCAGCACAGGGCAGCACTGTGGGAGAGCACCAGAGACTGGGCCTTCTGCCCCGGGGTCAGGGAGAAGCCAGGTCAGGACCAGAGGAGACAGGCTGGTCAGGACCGGGTGGCACCTGCCAGCACCTGCCAGCCACTCAGAGCCAGCACTTCCCTCCCAGGGCCTGGGGTCGGGCAGCTGGAGCCACAGCAGGGGGAGGTGGGCCTGAACCAGGACAGCTTGGGACGAGCCCTCGGCCCGCCTGGCCCTGGCGCACKGGAGCTCAGGGGCTAGAGGGTCTGCCTTGGCCACTTGGGCCTGAGAAGGCCTGGGCGGCAGCCCACTTCCAGCTGCCTCGGTTTCCAGGGGGGTGAGGAGACCAGGAATGCGCCCGGGGAGGCGGAGCAGGGAGGGGCTCCTCCGCCTGCGGGGACCTGCCCTCCCAGCCCGTGCTGCCCTGTGCCCCCGCGGCCGGGCTGGAAGCGGACAAGCAGAGCAGCGCTGGGAATACACACATTTGGGTCCTCCGGGCACAGTGTTGGCTACAGGGGAGGGCAGGCGTGGGGGAGGAAAGACAGAGAAACACAAGAGCAGGTTGGTCTCCAGAGGGCCAGCTCGCCCGCTCGAGGGTGGGCAGGCGGCAGCACGCAGGCAGCGGAGGTCTTCAGAGTGGGCACACAGGTGGGCAGCACCGGGGCCTGCCGGGCTTTCAGGAAACCATCTCTGGCCTGCTTGGGCCAGCTTCAAACCCAAACCATGCACCTCCATCCAGGCCAAGAACCTCAGCCCTTGCCCAGAGCCTCCACCAAGGGCCTCCCACCCAGAGGCAGTCTGGGAACGCTGAGCAGGCGGGGGATTCAGCAGGTCCCCACCCCGGCCCCAGCCAGCAGGCAGAGACCCAGGAGAGAGGCCATGATGCTGAGGAGCCCGGGTCAGAGGTCCCCGGCACAGGCTGCTGCAGACACTCACTGTCGGTGATGTCACCCAGGCCCTGGGCGTAAAGCAGGTCCCGCAGCCGCGTCACCTCATCCTTCAGTTCCCGGATCAGCTTGTTGTTGGGGTCTTCATTGATGACGGCGTTGCAGCGAATCTGCTTGGCCCTGTCCGCGTACCTGGGCAGGAGAGGGGTGGGCTGGGACAGGCCCCTCAGCAGACCCGGAGCAGAGCTCTACTCCTCACCGGGCCACCAGGGGTCACTCTGCGGCCAGTGGCCACAGGAGACCCTGGGGGGGGGGGGTCACCCAGCCCTCCTCATCCACTTGAGGAAACTGAGGCCAAGGAGGAGGGACAGATGTGTGTTGTCCCCATGAGGCCCCAGGGGCTCAGGTGCGGGAAGGTGGCTGCCTGCCACGTGTCTAGCTCACGTACTCAGCACCCAGGTGCAGGAGGTGCAGGGGCTCCCACGGGTGCAGGTCCGCCTCCCACTGAGCACACTCAGGAGGCCAGAAACTGCAAAGCCAAACTCGGCAGCCTCCTGAGGCCCAGTGTCCCCACCCAGGAGGCCACCCCTGCCTCCTCTGCTCACTGGCAGGCTTCCAGCCAGGAGCCACCGGGGCCCTGCCTGGCCTTCAGGCCCACGTGGCATCCTGAAGGGGGGTGAGAGCAGAACAGGGCCCAGGAAGGCCCAGGAGCCTCAGATCAGCCACCTCCAGCCTCAGGGGGTCCAGGAGGACCTCCAGCATGAAGGCCCCCCCAGGGCGGGGAGAGCGGGCCCCAGCTGGGCGCACCTCAGCGTGCTGAGCGTCTCGTCATAGTTGATGTCCGCAGGGCTCAGGGCGGCCACCATGGCGGTCCTCGAGTTGCCACCTGCAGAAACAGCCCAGGTGAGCACAGAGGGCTCTCAGCCCAGTGGGGTCTGCTCACCTCCCTCCACGAGTCAGGCTACCCTCGGGCAGACAGTGGCAGGGACCGTCCTTCCCAAGGACACTCGTCACCACAGTGGAGGCCTGGGGCCTCTAGTCTCCAGGCTGAGGTGGAGGCGTGGGGCCTCTAGTCTCCAGGCTGAGGTGGGGGCGTGGGGCCTCTAGTCTCCAGGCTGAGGTGGGGGCGTGGGGCCTCTAGTCTCCAGGCTGAGGTGGGGGTGTGGGGCCTCTAGTCTCCAGGCTGAGGTGGGGCTGGGTGCTTCTACACCCTGCTGGTGCCCTGGCTCCTCGGGCCATGAATGTCCTGTCAGGGGCAGCCACCTCAGCAGTCCTAACAGAATCACCCGCTGACCCACCCCAGCCCTCAGGAGGGCTGCCTGTCAGTGTGCCAGGTCGGGATGGACGGTCTTGCCGGCTTGACCCCAGGGACTTGTGTCCACGGGCCATGTCCTGGAAGTGGTTCCCTAGGGAATTCCCACAGGGACTTGGAGGTGACAGCAAGAAGGGCCTGGGCAAAGTGCCATGTCAGGCCCCAAAAAGGGTGACACAGGGGATCCCCCCTGCTCCACACTAGGGCTAACACTGGCATGGCCCTGTGTCCCAGGTGGAAGGACAGCCGTTCCTAGGACACCTCTGCCCCCCAGTGGGGCCCACCTGCCCTCTTCTCCACAGGCAGAGCTGCCTGGCAGGGGTGCTGGCTCCAGCCCAGCTGGCCGTGAGGTGYAGAGCCAGGCCACCAGGTGGGCCCRAGACTCAGTCTACCTCCTGAGCACCGCTTCTGCAGCTACACACAGCTGGGGGACCCTGGAGGCATTTCTGGGAGGGACAGGGTCAATGTCAGGCACACCCAATCTTCATCTCCCTGTGACGCTCACTGCTCAGGACGCAGATGGGGGCAAGGGCAAATCTACAGCAGCCCCCAAATCCCAGCCAGCAAGCAGGGTTCTCCAGAACCTCTGTGTCCCAGGTCCCTGTTACAGGTGGGGACCAAGATTCACCCGGCAGGAGCTGGGGGCCAGTGCTCTGCAGCTTCCTGGCTCCCTGGACGTGCCCTGGGTGCGCACTACGGGTAGCGCCTCACCTAGGCCTGCACGGTGCACTGTGGGCAGCCACCCCTCTGGGCCACCTCAGCCTTGGCCCAGACAGGGCAGGAGGCCTGGTGGCTGGACCTCCCAGGTGGGACGATGGCATGGCCCCTGGGAGGACATAGGGCCCCGGGGACAGGCAGACTGTCAGTCCTCACCCAGGTTCTCGCGSAGCAGCCAGGTCAGCACGGAGTCCCGGTAGGGGATAAAGTCTGTCTTCTTCTTCTTCTTGTTCTGTGGGGATATTCATGGTCAGCCYGGGCCCAGGAGGGCAGCAGAGGAGGAGGGAGCACAGAGCCTGCCTTGTGGGCCCCAGAGCCGCAGGCGGGGTGAGGGCAGGATAGGGTCAGCTGGCCGCCTGTCCCCAGGCCTCTCCAGCCCTGGGTGCCCCCTGCTGGCACCTCCACCCTGGGCTAGAATAAGGAGGAGTTGGCCATCCCTCAGGGCCTTCCTGGTCCATCCCTGCTGCGTCTGGGCCACTTGGCTGGGCCCGAGCCCAGAAGTATGGGCATCGCTGGCCACGGCGTCCTGCCTTAGGACTGATCTGAGCCCATCCCCCTCCCTGAAGCCCACCAGCAACTGACCAAGGGAAAAGCCCCACGTGGCCAAGACTATCTGAGCCTCGTGCCCTCCGCCGCCCCTTTGCGTCCCTGTCCCCGCCACAGGACACCCTCTTCCCACCCAAGTCCCTCCTGTCCTCCAGAAGCCAGCTCACAGCCTCCTGTGCTAGACTGCCCTCCCCTCCCCTCAGCAGGAGCACCCCAAGTCTCTCCACTACTCTAAGGCAAAGACCRTCACCCGGGTCATGCCTGCCCCGGGCACTGGCTGCTGGGAATCATAGCTCGTGGGCACTGCAGGAGGCTTGACTTCACTAACTGTGGTGTTCAGYGACTCTCCACATCTACCTGCTTTCCATGCACTGGCTGGGAAGAGTTAGGTGAGCACTGCTGTGGCCAGCAGACAGGCCCCGTCCCCGGTGCCCACACCATGGAGGTGCACTTGGGCGCCATCCAAGGGCTGTGCCATTTCTCTGGGCACATACCCCAGCCATTCTCTAGGATGACCCAGGAGGAACCCCACCAGCTCAAAGGACGTAAACCTTAAAAGCTCTTGAGACACTGGCAGCAGGTTTGAGGCCGTGAGCAGGTTCCTCACAGTTCCATGCACAGGTCCTCAAACAGATCCTCACAGATGCTCGCACAGATCCTCACGTAGACCCTCACACAGATCCTCCCCCAGATCTTCACATAGATCCTCACACAGACCTTCACAGATCCTTTCACATGTCCTCACACAGATCCTCAGACAGATCCTCACACTGATCCTCTCACAGATCCTCACAGTTCCTCACACTGATCCTCTCACAGATCCTCACACAGATCCTCACA